AAGATATCTGAATGCTACTGAGAAGAATGCCGCAATCAACTTTGCATGAGTGAGAAACTGTAAGTCGAATAAGCGCACGGAAATTACATGAACCAAGTTTGTGCCCCATCTGACATAAGAAAGATTCATTGTCGGTTTTATTTGTTTCTGCAGAATTGTATTTTCAAAAATATTTTCAAAAATGGCTGTCTAAGATTTATTCGTTATCGTCAATTGAATCAAAAGTGAATGCTTGCAACGCGTATTTACGCTTGAACTAACTTCCCAGTTTCTTGTGATAATGTTTATTTTTTGGTGAATTTTGATGACTTTTCAGATCTGTGATGACTGGGTTGCTCTTCCCAACTAATGCTAATTGTGTTGTTTTTTTTTTCAGCTAATCGGTTCGTTTTGTAGCTGAACATTTACTGTTGTTAGTGACATTACAATCTGTTCGAATTTATTCATTACTCATGCGTCATTCCAAATCACCGAGTGTTTACATGCTCCAAAGACTCATTCGATCTCCTATGAGAGCAATCTCTGAATAAACAAAAAAAACGTGTTTGTCCACATTACATTAACATGAACAAACAATGTCAAGTTTTCACTTGCTGACATGAAAACAATGTCATGATCATGAAAGTGAAAACAATGGAAATATCGAAAATTTCAATTAAAACAATACCAGCGATTAATGCAACGNGATATAATTTTATGGTAGTTTATGATTTTATACAGCAGTTGATCTATTCACCGCAGTTAATTCAGCATAATTATTAGATCTCCCGGAATATAACTGACTCAATGCCTCCATCTCTTCGTTTAGATCACCAACAACAAAAATTCGTATAAAAGGAAGGCAGTTTTGCTGCCGAGATCATTGAGTATTTTTGTACGTTCAGTGCGATTGTCTCAGTCCGTTCCAACTGTGGTATTCGCGAACTTCGGTGAGTTGATCAGATTCTAACCCTAATCAAAATTGACATAATTCACTTCAGATGGTTTCGCCTTTTCAAATCAATTGTATCGTTCCATTTCATCTAAAATGGTGATGGGCAACAACCAACGATTCTTTAGCTGATTGATTAACATTGAGAGAAATTTTGGTTCGGTTGAGTGAGCGTGATTTTTGCAATTTCTTGCGCTGCGATCAGTCATCAAAACAATCTGTTGTTCTTACAGGTATTCGTTTAATTCGGACAATGGGTGGTATGGACACACAACTGGCGGGTGCTGCGATAGTTAGCAGTGGCCTGGTGATAGCGCTATCGTTGGTGATGATCGGTGTGCTCTTCCAAGATATCAACTCGATGTACGATGACATTATGCTGGATATGGCCGAATTCAAGATGATCGCCAACGACGCGTGGAAAGACATCGCCGTTGTTAACCACAGGGCACCGCCAAGTGACTTCGACCAGCTGTTCGCCCGTCAAAAACGTGACGCGAAGGCGTGCAATTGCGCGCAACGTTCACGTCGCTGTCCTGTCGGTGCACCGGGTCCAAAAGGAGCTCCAGGAGAGGCGGGCGCGAACGGAGCCGACGGATTAGCCGGACTAATGGGAAAATCCGGTCTTATTGAAACCGCTCGGTCTCCCCCAGGATCCTGCATTAAATGTCCACCTGGACCACCAGGCCCTATGGGACCACAGGGTATTCAAGGACCCGCCGGGCCAAACGGATTCATTGGAGCACCAGGTATCGACGGAAAACCAGGACGACAAGGACCATCTGGACAAGTGGGAGATAGTGGTTCGCCTGGTAAGTGTATTTTCGATGCGTTGGTCTGGGCTCAGAATGTTCGGAACAAGAGAAAAATTCGAACAGTTCCATAAATACTGTCTTGTATGATTGGAATATCAAATTTTTCGAATGCTAATCAAATTCTCGCAATTTAGATCGAACAATTACAAATTATTGATCGCGAAATACATTTGTGTTCAATGAAAACGCGATTTAATAATTTTCAGAAAAAAAAACTCCATGAAAACATTGCAAATCTGTTTTTAAGGTATGCTTGGAGCAACTGGACCAGTGGGAGCTCCAGGAGCCAATGTCCTCATACTGATCGGACGACCAGGACCGAAAGGTGAACAAGGACCGAATGGTCAACCAGGCAATGCCGGTCAATCAGGAAAACGAGGACCAGCTGGGGCACCAGGAGCACCAGGTGCTGCCGGATTCAACGGACGACCCGGAGCACTTGGACTCGATGGCGCAGCCGGAATGCCGGGTATCGATGGACTGCCAGGCGATGATGGTGTCTACTGCCCGTGCCCATACCGTGCCGCTTGAGACATACCTTGACACGCTTACAATATTCAATATGTGACATGCCTCATGTCACATATTGAACATTCTAATTGAAATCCAAATTGTACAGTCATTTAAGAACACGAAAACTTCGAAGAACTAAACTCCTTTAAAACAATAAGAATTTTTAAAGTTGAAGTGACACAATAACATCGCAATAAACATGTTCAGCACAACCATTACATGCTTTGCACAATGATACAGAATTTCTTCATCTCAGCTCTACGATGTGTTTCGGCGAATAAAAAAGCGATCGAGTCAACGGCAAATGCAAGTGAATAAGTGCAAATGCCGTAAACTAATAACAAAAAAACCACTCAAAAATACGAACAGCGACCATTCAGGAATTCGATTAATGACCGTGACAAAAATGAACCACATGAGAGGGAGGAACGCTCGCCACTTAGCATTTCTCGCCTATGCTTCACATTGAGTTCTGATAATGTGAACAAGCGATTGCTGGGCAAATGCCATTGAATGAGTGAATAAATCTATCCTACTTCATCTCTTGTAAGCAATGAGGTGGGATGAATGAGAAAATAACGAGATGAACTGTTGCATTTGCTGAAAAGAGAATATGAATAACGTCATACGGTGAAAATTTTGTCAGAAATTACGCAAACTTTATTTGAAAAATGGAATAAAATCAGAGACAAATTATTCGACGGTAACATACAAAATACACCTAAAATTGCTGCATTCAACAATTGCGATAAAATGGACAAATTAAGAATATGAAGAT